TCAATTCCCTGCTTTCCATCTTCGGGATCGCCCTTGCAATCCACCCAAGATGCCTGCGAGAAGACCGCAAGTATCGAATTTACTACGTCTACACTCAGCTCGTCGCCGGCTTGGTCGTTCTATCCTTGGGGGTTATGTTGCCAGCCACGTTCACGGTTTTCAGACATCATTTGAATTATTTGACAGTGAGGGTCATTTTCCGTACTACAAGGATCTGTATTATGGAGCCGTTGGCCAGGCGGCTTTCGGAATTTTAGCGATCATTGTCTCTCGTGCCTTCTGCCATATGCGCCTTACGCGGACACTAGCAGAGTGCGCACACGGACCTATAAAACAGGCACAGAGGATTCTATCGACCTCCTAAAGTAGGGGTGAGGAACGAGTCAACCGGATTTACGAAAAAAGGCAGTCGCAGGATTTGATGATGATTTCGAAAAATGAGGGAGGTGGAGTCCAAAAGCATTAGAGAAGTTCGATGAAAACGGTAAAGGAATAAATGTACTCTACTGCGGAGTTGCTGAGATAATTTACCAATTAAATTTCCTGATTGAAACCAAAGCAGCTTCATCGCTTGATGTGAGTAGCCAACCAATCGTGGCCAATATTGGAACAGTATGCTGGGTGGCTTGATGTAGCAAGCAGGTGATGGTTGACGACCTGATCTGCGTGAATAATCATCAACCTTGAAGGTCGTCAAGTCTTCCAAAGCAGACTCTAGAAAGGTATGAGCTGCCGAGGAATCACATTGCTCCAGGAAATCGTATATGACTTGTAGACTCTCCATTCCCACCCTGACAAAATTAGTCACACCCCTGTTGACACCTCTACCAGCCCTGGGAATGCACAGCTTGGCCCTAAGAGCTATCCTGCTCCCAGGAGCTTTGGTGCGGCTTCTGGGAGCCACGTAGCCCCCAGGAAATCCGACGTGGCTTCTGGGGTCTAGTACTTTCACCTCGGGGAACCAAAGCCATGTTCCTGTTGACAGTTTTATCATCTCCTGGAACCTCAAGTGCGGTTCCTGGGGCTATGGCTAAGGTTTCCGAGTGTAGTGAATTACGCAGATTTGTGCGCAGGTCTGGTGAAGGTGTCTTTTGAGGGCTTTCCGCAACCTCGGAGGGCAGAATATTGACCCTAGGGTCCAGAAGTAGGGTCCCAGGAGCGCGACAGCTCCCACATCCAGCCAATGCTTTCCCAAATCCAGTTTGTATTTAATCAGGATCGTATGTATGTCAGAGATATACATGAGGCATACATCATGGCTGGAGATATGATCTGCGGGACCCACATGGTACATCTGGATTCCCCTGAACACAAGGAAGCCCGTCTCCTTTGCTTCCTCGCGCTAGGTTTTGTATCTAGAGTCGACTATAGCTTTTCTTAATAGTGATAATTGTTGTGATATGAGGCTGGTGCAGACCAGGAACCAAGCCGCACCGTCGGAATTAGCTCCGAAGTGTCTATACAGACGACCGCTAATAGTTGTATATATAGTCTCAAGTATTCCTCTCAAATGATAAGTGAGTTCATAAATCTGAATTACAACACTCATTAACGTCCATCCACATTATCATCAACGTTCATCAACCTCTGTTGGTTGGTTCGATCCGGGTCGGATTTTCAAGAGACCCGCCCACGCGCTCACTAACATCCGATCAATAGGGCGGATTTAATCTGAGCGTGTTTTGGCGAGACCTACTTTGTCATTGCATAATTTCTCCGTCAAGTTGGGTTCATCCTTAGCCCGATCGTAGTTGTTTTGACTTCGCAATGGAGAGCCAGTGCTTAAAGAGACAATCTGGAATTATTAATCACTATACAACTGTCTCTGATACGAAACTTACCTAGCAAGCACCAATGCTAAGTCCTCATTCGAGTTGGGACAATGACCAGCTCTACATCCCTCGCATAGCTCGCTATCATGGGGACCTCTGCTCTGACCAGAGTAACCAGGCCGCTGTACCTCAATTCCATTCCATTTCTTCAGCCAGTATGTCACCCTTTCAGCATAGCATTCGGTATTCAAGACTAGCCGACCAACAGCTTTGCAAGTTCTGCACCTCTGGTGATACACTCGGGCATTGTATCGTTGTTGTGGGTACAGGCGAATCGTAATGGCGATCTTTTTGCTCGACCAACCGCTAGAGTAACATACGCTGTTGTGGCACATGAATCGACCCATGACGTTCGTGTCCCATTCCTCGATATTTGATTGTCCATCATCGATGCCAACGAAGTCTAGTCGGAGCCCTTCCTCATCCAGCAACCGTGCTACTTCGTCATGAAACTCTGGGTGGAGCGACCACAATTTTGCCACTTTGCGTCCTTTACGCGGCATTTCAAATGTAAGCACCGATGGTGAGATTAAGAGTGTCAAAAGCTTGCGCTGAGAATCCGAAATTTGGGCTGTGGATCGGTGATAAATTTGTAGGAGAAGCCATACCCCGCTTCAGAGCAAAAGCTCTACCCTCAAAGAACAACGCATCTTTGTCACAGGATGAGGTGATTGGTAGATATGCTTCATGCAGCGTAAACTGCATGAGTGTCACTAAAGATACCATCTGCCCACGATTCTTAATGCATAGATGATATCAGAATAAACCAATGGAATGTGTGAACACAAAACTGGGTTATTAAATAGTTCACTCACGAGATTTTCGTAAATATAAATTTAGATAAGATGTAGATTCGTGTCTCCTAGGGGAGAACTTGTTTTTTATGGACGTTTCTATTCAAATAGAGTCAACAAGTTAAATAGCAATTACGTGTTCCAGGGCGAATCTCATCCGCCTATCTCCACGCTCTCATCTTTGCTGAGGTGATCAGCTCGACCCTATCACATATTTACGGTGATATCCTTCAGGTCAGCCTTGTAAATTATGTTCTAATTGAATTCCTGGATTTGATCTGCACGTTGCGCTGTTCATGGCGATCCTGGAACGTCCACAGCATCTTGGCACCTGAATCTGAATCTGATTTGCCTTTAGCGCCAGGATGAGGACACGAAGTGCTTGGCTTCTTTCAAACTGCGGGGTCTTTCATCCTATCGGGCTGTTGCGCGCTCTTAGTGCTCGACGAAAATGACCAATATACTGTATTCGATACATCACATGCAATATGGCTCTACGGTCACCCAAGATATGCCAACTTCGGAAAGCGCGGCAAGGCTAGTTTTATCATCCATCCACTATCCCACCTTGTTTTAGTACATTAACCCCTCTGGATCACTTAAGGCGACTGCTACTGAGACAAATATCTCGTTCTCTGTTCCATTCAAGAATATTCTTCTTTCATACCCACAGAACTGTTTCGAATAAACATCATCTCATATGCGTCTATTACCAATATTTATCCCTGCAGTCCTTGCGGGGCCGGCCGCTTATGGAGTGTGCCAAGCAGGATGCGCCACGGTTGTCACGGCTTGTTACGCTGCCGCAGGCTTCACATGGGGAGCCACTGCCGGGGTCAGTGTCCCTGCCTCTGTCTTAGCTTGCAACACAGCTTTTGGAAGCTGCCAAGCTGCTTGTGCCGCTGTTCTATTGGCCCCGGTCCCTTGAACGATGATCTCATTAAGATGGATCTTGCTGTATAATGATGTAAGTCAAGGAGCATATTCACTCATTTGACAATTTCTGATAATTGAGAATTATATTTTGTTAGGTACTCTTGGACCTCAAATGGCCCATACATTGTACAAGAAAGGACGATATACGAGTTGCCTTTATATACATGTAGCAAAACCAGTCAAATTGCCCGAAATCTACGCACCCTTCGCTCAAAAGCGTTTGACTAGAACTGTATATTGCTTCGGCGAGTTGGATTCATATTTTGGTCTAGTTGAGAGATCAACTCAGCAAGAGGTCGGGGTAAATGAATTCAACTACTACTACTGTTGCTGTATTACAGCTCTCTCTCGGGGCGTTTTCAGCGCGCCAGCCGCGACTGAAGTGAAGCGACTCTGTACTAGTTCAAGCGGCAAACTGTCGGCTGGGTCCCTCTCGGCTCATATGCTTCTTAAATACATGCGTATTTTCGAAATCCATAAGTTTTCCTGGTATAATACCAAGGACAAGTACCATGTGACCCCGCACCACTTTTCAAAGATTATTGAAGCGGTCTCCGAGGGTAAAGTTTGGTGGTCTGTAAAGCTAGCAACATCTACACCTCTCGTGATACAATGCGGGATAGCTTTTATCAGTGTCAATTGTTATCAACTCTCGGAATCAATTACGTGCACTTTCACGCTTCGAGTACGTTTCATTCACAATAACGTCACGTTCAAATTCAACAAGTCTACTTGATGTGTAAAATTCAATGCATCAAAGTTACACTTGCAAACTACCATTAGAACGTTGTTTCTGCAAGTCTTTGTTTCCAAACCTCATCAAACCTTTCCGTCTGGCTTCCACAACTCGGACAGGTTAACAGTTTTACCCCTATCAACCTGAACTAGTTCAGAAGCTCTTTTGACGTAGTGGTGAATGCGCAAATCCAGCCCTTGTTATATGCCGGCCGCATGGTCGCACGGAAGGCTCCTTTCGATCGTATTGGGATTTGCAGTAGAGTACAATGCCACCAATCATGTGAACTTTGCTTACAATACTAATCGAGAGCTTATGGTGGGCTAGACGAAAGATAGACTCGCCGTTTTCGAGACAAGAAAAGGATCTACGAGTATGAGTTGAAAATGATTTCGAGCGCGTCTGTAGCTCTCTAATATTGGTCCGGTAAGTTCTGATGCTCATGTGCCGTCTGGCAAAAGGCCGGACCCGCTTGGTTAGAATGAAAACAGTGTAGACAGATCCCAATTCGACTTGTCAAATCATCCAAACCATAGCGAAAGGACTTCCGATATTCTGGCACAAAATGCTTGTATCCATATCTGCATTGGGCACTGGATTCCTCTGGAATTGGATCCGGCATCATATTTGCTCGCTCTATAGCCTCGGCGACGACAAACAAGGAAGTCGGCCAAAGATCCTGTGCCTCGAGTAGTTTCATGTAGGCAAATGCGTATTTGCTTGTCCATCCGCATCTGTGGACACACGCCAGAGCATTGATCCCTTTAATCAGAATCTCTCCCAACTTCAGCCTCGCAAAGCCCCTTTGCTCTTCTAGCAGACCTAGAGTGAATGATCAGTCACAGGTGGGCCATTTCACATAGATTGAAACTTACAGAAAACTCTCTCACCCAAGATTGGCATAATGTCTTCGCTCAAAAGGGCAAGGTAAGAGTCACCGTAGTTGAGAACCAGGGCCTTTGTAATGTCTCTGAATGCTTGTGCGTTCTTAAACAAGCTCGCCGCGGCCGCAAGAGCAATAAGATCATTGGCTCCCCTATTGAGGGGATATAGCCAGAATTGACTGGCAAAAGTTAAAGCGTCAACAACGCCGAACTTGTTCGCCGTGACAGCGACTCTGAGAACATCATTTACAGCCATGATCTGAGGTAGCAATTTGATCTGATGGTGCAAAATTGCACAAATACATCTCAGCGCCGTCGCATTCTCTTCGGGCAGTACTATTTCTACGGGAAGACCCGTACCTAGTATATCATGGCCTTCCTTCCAGTCTGGTCCCAAGATGGTACCTGACAGTTTCGAAGCTGCCTTGAGGAAAAGTGACCGCACGCGGAGCCTCAGCTTTTCAGGTCCAACAACTAGAATGATATCACCAGCTGCATCGATATTCACAATCTTGTCCCGCGTGTCTGTCATTCCGAATTGATTGGATTATGCGTCGGAAAAAAAAAATTGCTCTAATCAGGGGGTGTACGTAAAGCGATAGTCTCTGACCAAAGAACCAATGAGCAATCAGGATGAATGTCACTGGACACGGGCAGTCTTCAAGCAAACATTTGAGTGGGACATAAAAACAAAAGGCGAGGGCAAGGGGGGTTTTCGTTTACCTTCAGATCGGGCGTAGACAAATCTGAATTAGTGAGTTCCCCCAAAAAATTCAAAAGATAGCTTGTGGAACATATGGTATAAGAGGCGGCTTCGAGATCGGTGACAGGCTCTAGTAAAAGAAAGAAAGAAGTAGGAATAAAGTAACCCGATATAGGCTGTTCGTTGTCCCCGCGTGTCAACTTTTTTCTTCAGCAATGCTCAAGACAACACCATGAAGTGCCAGAAAATAAGCCCCGCAACGCAATTTTTCATGCCTTTCCGTGGGATTTCGTCCGCTTGCGACAACTTGTAATAAGCCCCGGCTCGCTCTCTTAAGCTTTCTTATTTCGTGTCAAAAGAAATTGTATGACGTGATTGTTGGGCTGCAGGACTCATCACTTGGTTCCACGGCCTTGCTATCCACCAAATTATGGTCTGAAACGTGGAGATGTGGAGATATGAAGCGGGGTAGGTTCGGCTGGTCTCGAATGGCTATTTGGAATTCCTGAACGCAGCCCAAATGCGGGCGTGAGATTTGTAGGGGGCACTTACGCTGGGGGGCACATCAGATGCGTCTTTCTGCTACGTGGACATGGCACAGTGCAAATGTCTTCAGTCTGTCAGTTGCTTTTGAGCTTGGGCGATTCCATGGCTGTCGAGCATTAAAAGCGAGATGAGAATCCGAAAACCTATTACTCCGTGCTACTTACATGATCATCGTGCCTTTGTCAGTAGGACATCGGTACTGACGTGTTCAAATGGACTACAGCGACGCTAAGTCTTGGCTAGTGGTACCAAAACTTCCAAACCTAAAGGTATGAGCATTGCTGGCATGACCTTTGCGGTGCGTCTTCATATCATCGTCCCAATCCGAATGCAGATATTGGGCCTAGATGCAACAGCTCGTGTATCACAGGATGAGTCAGTGCTATTCCGGCCAGACAGAGTGCTTGGTGGGTCAATGCGGATGGGCATCTAGTTCTATGATGGCAACAACCTTTGTCGCTCACTAATAAGCGCTGGCACCTCAGAATGTTAAGCACCCACCAAATAATTGAAGTAAGGAGCAACCATGTCAGAATGTCAGAGAGGAAGTTGGAGAGCCAGAAAGGAAATTAACAGGAAAATTATTCCACAACACTGTTCGTGCCGGTGGCTTAATCGCAAAACGAGGCCGATGCAAATATGTGTTGTCCCGCAGATTAGTCCAAGACATATCAGGTATGTACATTGGGGCAGTGCAACCAGTGGAAATGGTGGCAGGTATTAGTAGAATACAAGCTGATTATGGAGTATGTTATCGGCAATACAATATGAAGGCGTTAATGTACGCTCAAATCAATATTCCATTGCTCGCACGTGCTCAGCATCCTCGCGCGCAACCATCTCATCCAGTGGCCCAGGACATATGAAGACCGTATATAAAGAACCGCTACGAGGCTTGGAGCAGCTCAAACTGCAGCACCGCTTGCGCCCAGGACCATACAGGCTCCTAAAACACGATCCTGAATGCTGCAGCCTGCAGGTGATGCGACTGACACTCGGCGAATTACGTAGGTAATGGTCTCTCAAGTCAGCCTTCTACTCTTTGGCGTGCTGTCATGCTGCCCTTTTGGTCAACCTGTCGCTACAAGGGCTCTTCTGATGCTTGAGGTCGTATTTGTATAGCACTTTCTTATATAATACATTCTGTGGTTGCAACTACATTTGTTGTGAAATGAGGCTGGTGCAGATGGGGAACCAAGTAAGTCTAACCCGGACAGTCGAAAAAAAGGAAATGATCTTTGTTGCGGCTGCACGGCTACGTCACTACTATTTGTCATAACCATCCAGTGGCTTAACGCTACCTCCAGCGACAGGGCAGACCCTAAAGTCCAAATTTGTATCAATTCATCTCTAGTTAAACCACGCGGGAAACGGTTCAGGCTCTGAACTTATCGACCAAACCGTGAGTTACATATAAAAACAGACTTCTCAGAATTCAGAGGTGAGGCCGAGACGTACATTAACGCATATACATAGAGGTTCTCAGCCGTCTCGTAACTGGACAAGCCCTATAGCGAGCTATCAATCCAAATAAGTACGCGTCCCCAAGTTCTCCACTGCCTCTCAAATAAAATCACTTTTTTGGCATCTCAAATACCCCACACTATCAAGCGCTCTACGACCCCGATTTGTTCACAAGTGCGGTTATAGCAACACGGCGAAGTTTAGCCGGCTCTGTTTTGATACTGCTCGGAAGAGCTTCATCGCGGTCAAGTGCCACAGTAGATCTCCGAGTATTAGGGCTTTTCTCAGTCACTTCTGGGCCATGCACAGAGCCTTTCTGGGTGACAGTGGCAGGAATGGTGTTTTTCAATCGAGAATAAAGATCCTCCGGGAGCACCTTCCTTCCCTCGATCCTCTTGATCAAGAGCTTGTCTTTCAAAGGATCATAGCGAATACTTGAACTACCACCCCAGTCTCTGGTCATTCGTAGTATGCAATTAATCAATGCAACGAGTTTTGTGATGGTATCCTGGTGGCTCTTTTCCCAGTCCTTCACCGCGACAGTCACATCTTCGACTTTCGGCGTCGAAAATATTCCACGCTGATGGTGAGCACGGACAAGTTTGGGGGTTTGAGAAACCCAAAGCTGAGCAGCAACTTCTGCTAGCTCCAGGGGTTTGTGGAAAACTCGAGTCTTGATCTCTAGGGTCGATTCCCGTGATGCTATCCGACCTTCCCTCTTGATGGTCAAGTTGGATTCAATGGAGGGCTCGTCTATGGAGGTGGTCTCCGACGTGATAGACAAGGAACTTAGGATGTCGGTAAGGTTGTCCCCTGTTGATTTTTCGTCCTTTACACTGGATTTCAGATCCCTAACACATCCGTCTGTCTCATGACGCACGAGGAAACTGAGACCACCCAATCGGTATGAAAGTATGCGATGGTGCCCGGTGCTGCCTTTGATCTGACTGATCGTATAGGCTTTTTCAAATTCATGTCCAAAGCCCCGAAATTCGCTCGGTCCAATAACTTCATAAGTGGCGGTTTCGTCACGGGAAAAGATTGCAGTCTGAGCGATCATATCCACCTGGATGGTGAATGCATCGAGACCATTATTGTTCAGAGTCGGCTTGATAAATGACAGAAGTTTGCGAATGTTGTTTCGGTCGCTCACGATGTCGATTGATTTTATGTCAAACGAGGGATTCTCAATGTAAAGAGAGCGAAATAACGGTTCCAGAGGGCTGTCGGGATGACGAGCGGCATTCTGAGAGATATAAACAAGGCCACTATCTTTCTTCACTTGACGGCGCCCTGGTGGAGCGGACCACTGAGCTGGACTGCCCGGCACAGCAATGGTGGGTGTGGATGCTTCGATCCAGTTATAAGACGCTAAGTGCCTCACATCAGTAATGATTGCCTCCGTCGGAGCGAAAGATTCGAGGCCGAGGCGAGAGATCTCCTCAATCCCCTCGGAGGTCGTTTTGAAGTCTGACATTTGATGAATTTGATATCATGAGAATAGGTGGTACGGTAAAATTAGTTCGCTTGCGCATTCAAAGGGTGGCATAGCCTGGTAATAAGCCAGACTGCCTACACTAATGAGCGCTCCATTGGTGCCAACACATACTGACAAGGGTATATATCGGGAGTGAATTGCAACGTGTCCGGGATGTAACAGAGAATCAGCTACGAATGTAGCTTTTTTGGGGACGTGATCATGATAGGAGCAAGCAGAGCAGAAGTCTTGTTAAAATGGCGTGTGGCCGACCTTCTATTAGCTTAACGCATATCCTGATGAGTTGTTCTAGTACAATGGCTTGCCTTGCTCGGTCGCATACACGTCTGATTGGTTAAATGCGCATACATGTGTACTTCGTTCGTATACTGGATATGCCACATGTCTCAAAGCTGCTTACTAGCCCATGAATTCGTTTTGCAGCTAAGTACAAGTGACCATATCTTAGTTCTTTGGTGACTGGGATAAGTCTGTAGTCTGAAAAGGACCAATAGAGCCATACGAAGAGGCTGATAATCTGATATTATCTCATCAAAATTATTACGCACACTCTATGGATCCTAGTCTGCAGGCTAGCCCCAAGACTGTTCATTCGGCTAGTTGATAAATACCATGGATATTGGGCTACCGCACTGAATCGGATGCCCAATCTGCAAGATTTGTTAGCAAAGTACATTTTAAGACCTTTCATGTTACACCGCATGGATACTGTACCAGACCGCTTCACATTCAATCCATTCAGAAATACGAGTCGTTGGAACTCAGGATTCTTGAATTGAACATGTTGTTCTGCCAGGTATTCTAGTTCCTATGAAAGAAACGTTGGCATGGAGTTGTATCGAGACATGTACTAGGGAGTCTGTCAGGAAAATGGTGATCAGCATCGTATTAACCCAAACGGTACCTCTAAGATTCTAGAGGATTCGATACCAGGTATTCTCGAGGGTATTTCAACCCCCTCGAGCCCAGTAGATAGGAAAGAAGCATCAACACTTATTTTTTTCTGATCATCTTTGTTATTCCCCTTTTTTGATTCCGTTGCCTTTCGCTGGCCAGTAAATCCGGTGTATTTCCACAGCTATACAGAGCACTCCTGATAAACATACACATCTGATCGACTTTATAAGAATTTCCTAGGTCATCTAGAGAGGAAAAGTAAAGCGTCCCATGCTTCCATGATACTCAGCGGCTTGAACACCACGATTTCCTCCGCCGAAGCCCACATGCATGCCCCTAAATCTCGCCGCACGATCTGGCACACGATTCTCCATCAACAGATCAAGAAGCGCCCGAGAATGGTATATCACCGGCCCGGGCCGCTTCATTTCGTCCCAATATTTGGCCATTTTGTTGTCCATCTGCTCGATGGCCTCCGCGGTTTTCTGTTGCTGTGAATATATCCATCTCCTGTCGTTGAGATCCCTAAAACACCGATCTGGTTAGAATATCAATACTGTACCACCGGGTAGAAAAATGAAACATACTTCATAGCTGCGCCATACACGCGTTGGAGAGCCAAGTTGAAGGCGTCAAGTTGATCGCATAGAGACGAGATTGCCAGCGGAGTAGGTCTGAGCTCGTGTTCCTGCTTCCTGCTGCGAAGGGGGGTCAGCAAAAGCGTTTGAAGCCGAATCGTTTCACTTACCAATGGAGTGACGTGATCAGAGGTTTTTTTGCGTTTTGTCTTCCTCACCAAGGATGGGCAATTCCCTGGGCGGCTGATCTCCTTCTTTTTCCTGGTGTGGCGCGCTGTTCAGGGCACCCATTTTTTCCGCAGGAGAAAGTCAATGGTCTGGTTAATACAATTTCCATCGATCTTCAGTGCCTCTTATAGACTGCGCAGATGTATGTGTATAAAATATGGGCTGGGTTTTACGATCACCACAACGGTCAATCTAAGCAGTCAAATTCTCACTGGAGTCGGTCTACTTTTCAGCGGCTCCTGACAGTGTATTCAGCAATAGGGATATCAGTCGGGGAACTGATCAAGCCTCACGATGTTGAGGGCCAGAGATCAACGCTTGTTGATGATATATATTTCAACCAGACACCTATTTCCGTTTCGTTGAACGCCTCAGAAATCCGACAAATGGAGTATTGTAGAACTTATAGTCACCAAA